AGGGAAGTTGGAGGCCCTCGGAGTTACGCGCGGTGTGTGCGCTTTGCGAAGCCTTTCCAGCCTCGCAGGAGCTTGCCAAGAACCTCTGAAGATCCAGACCTTCGAGCAGGTCCGGCAGGAAGCCATCGGCGAGCAGGACGGGTTCGACTTGCGCCTTTGTTTTGTGCAGTGTTTTTTGCCATGTGCCAAGAGCAGCAGATCCTGGGCTTCCTCGGCATCGATGCGCAGGGCGGCTTCGGCCCAGAAAAGGTCACGGCGGCAAAGGAGGTGGCCCGCCGCGTGGCTGACGCCCCGTTTCATCAGTGCGTGAGGTCCAAGGACTTCAGGGCACGTTTCACCAGCAAGCACCTAGCACAGGCGGTGAAGGCGCAAGGCGCCCGCTGCATCTATGTCGAGGCCACCACTAAGGCGGATGAGCGGTTTTGCGCAGCGTCGCCATCCGTGCACGCTCTGCTCAACCAGATGGCCCCTGCTCTTGAAACTGACACGAAGCCCAAACGCTGGGGAATCTTCTGATGCAGATGAAACCATCGGGAAGCATTGAGAAGCCCAGACTGGGGGATTGCGGTGTTGATAGAAAGTTGAAGCAGCAGACCTAGCATTCCACCAGAGGGCGGATGGTGCTTTCTTGTTGTGTGAAAAGGTTTTATTCTTAGTGTCCGTTGCGTGTGGCTTGGAGAAGCAAGGCATTTGCTTGTTTTTAAATTTTTGTTTTATCGCTTTTGAACCCGCTTTCTCTGCTTTGTGAAGAAAACGTTTTTCCATTTGTTGCGTGTAGCTTTCTCCTTCTGTGTGGAGAAGCAAGGCGTTTTGCTTGTATTTAATTAATTTTCATCGCTTTTACACCCCCTGAAGCGATCGGGCGTCCGCGTGCAGGTGCTGTTGAGAACTGCTTCCGACATAAAACAATCTGTGGAGAGAGGTCAGCAGCACGAGACGAGTTAGCACAAGTTTATGCTGTATTCTGACCCTCCGAGTTTCTGGTGCCTTTCGCAAACACATCCTCTTTGGAGACTGGACTCAACTTGGCTTGCAGCCAACAACCACTTTCAGACCGCAGGTGTCTTGGCAAGTGTACCAAGCCGTTACGCGCAAGTCATAACGGAGCTGAAAGTCGTTGTAGGTTGTGAAGATTCCGAGCATCGGCCTGGTGTGCAGCCACAGCAAGGGATAGAGCTTTGGACGGGGCTGATACGATGTTGCTGAGTCATTGCTTTGCCTTCTGTAAAGCCTGGACTGCACAAGCATTACCAGAAAAGCAGTAGTATTGGCTCCTTTATTCTCACACTTTCGTGGGTTTTGTAGCTTTTCTCCACTTCGCTTGTAAGCAAGCGCAGCTGACCCTGTCATTGAGGCCGTTTCCCCCCAAAAAAAAAACACAGTTCGTGCCCGTTGGAGAACACATTTCGGTTGTTGTGTCAACTTTCGCATTCTAGATGATTTTATCCATTGATTTCCAAAGCAAAAGACGTTTGGTTTCTTCTTCTCGACTTCTCAAACTTTAGCAGTGTTATTCAATTTTTCAGATTTCTTCGGTCTTTACCCCTCTAAAGCAAAGACGTGTGGTTCGTTCAGTGTGTGTTGCAGGCTTTGCCCCATTTGTAGAAAATGAGCGGACTGAAAAAAACTCCCCTTGACGCCCTTGAGCCTCTTTCAAAGCCTCGACTCTAACCTGGACCTGGGCTGAACTTGGCGGTCCTGCGTTCTGATCGGATCTGCACGGAACTTAGATACAGTTCGAGGAGCGCCGGACCCGATGATTGAAGTCTCAAGCAGTGGAATTTGGAACGCTCAGAACCTGACGATGTACTACGGGTCCAGAGTGGACAGATGTTCTGGACGCGTTTTCTCCAGTGAGAATATGGCCCAAACTATGCCATGCATGTGTCCACTTGCCGTTGATGCCGTGGTCTAAGGTCTTGGTTGCCGAAATTTGAGCAATCGTAAACCCTAAACCCCCGTCAAAATGTTGGGAAAGTAATTAGTGCAGCATGCGCCTCCGGAAGGTCGCTGCCTGCCGAGAGGGAAGTCGTGCGGGAAACCTAGTCGCTGAGATTACAAAATGCCCCAGGGGTGAGTTCCGTGCTCGATTTTGGAACCCTCCCTTCACTTCCTGCTTCGCAAGTCTGCATGTCTTGGGATTGCACAGTTCAAAAATCAGCGCTAGAACGTAGCTACCATTACTGTCATCCGTTTCGGTCTTGGCTCCAAGCGTCAGCGGGCTTTTTGGGTCGCTCGCGGTTCGGAGTGGCCGCTTGAGCAGGTGGCGGCCCCATCGCCTTCAATGACTTCAACTTTCGCTTGCGCTTTGCTTTTCTCAGGTACCCGCTGCAAACATGGTGACGGTGGTCAACTCGAAAGCAGACGTCCTCAAGGCCGGATTGGTGTAGCCGCGAAGAGCGTGCTCAAACACAAATCCATAAATTCTTCGTCTCTGTACTTGATCCCTAAACCCTAAACCCTAAACCCTGATTCCTCTGCAAGCCAGGCTTCCCAGGCTCTGGCCGTCAACCTCAATGCAGCGAAAGGGCTGCAAGAGGCTCCTACACAAGCGGCACAACTTGCTGATGCCACCAACGGCTGTAGAAAGTCTAAGCCTTCTTTCCAACAGCAGTCCGAACCTCAAAGCTCCGGCACTGCCAGGTGATGAAGTCCAACCTCGGACCCCGAGGAGCGGGAATGCTTTGGTGTGCTCTTTGCGAAGTTGGCTCAGGGTTTGGGGTTTGAGACGTTCGAGTTTGTACTTCGCAGGGGATTCGAAGCTGGAGTTCCGAGCCCGCATTTGAAATCAGGGACGCTGAAGATGTTGGTGGGCGGCGCTGGACAGATCAAGATCACCAAGGAGTGCAGGGCAGTGCTGGTGTTGCCGCTTGTGCTGGTGGGAATGGTTCAGATGAAGGTGAGGGTCACGATGGACAGGGATACCAACATGAAGATAAGGATGGGCATGCTAAGAAGATGGCTGTGAAGATGGCTACATGATGACGATGGTCTAGTTGGTGATGCTGCTGATGAAGACACAGGTGAAGATGACAATGGCAATGATTACAATGGTACTCGTGAAGGTGGTGGTCATTGTCATGCTAATGAGACAGGAACGGCAATGCTGGTACATTTCTCATTAAGAATGGGGTAGAGAGCATGGTGATGCTGGCGACAGTAACGATAGCAACGATGGCGAGGATGCCTCAGAATATCGACACGAATGCATCTGAAATACTCAACGGCATTCACGTTCACACTCTTTGCTCAAGATGACTGTGATGATTGCAGAGCTGGTATCTACCGCAGTCACTATAATCAGCTCAGTGATAGTGGCAACAGTAGCAGGGCAGCAGCAGGAGCAGGAGGAGGAGGAGCAGGCGGAGTAGTGATACTGGTAGTGGTGGTAGTCGCAGTTGTAGCCGCAGTTGTATTAGTATTAGTATTAGTATTAGTATTATGGTTAGTAGTAGTCGCAGTTATAGTCTTACATAGTCGCAGTCGTCTTGTTGTCCAGTCGTAGCTGTGAGTATGGCAGCAGAGCTAGTGGTATGGGTCATGGTATCACCACTGCCTGCATCTAGTATTTCCAAGATTTCGACGGTAGCAAAGGTGACGCTCAACCCGCAAAAGCGAAGACTTCATCAAGCTTGACTTGTTTCGGTACTGACTCGCCGCGGCAGGATGGGTCAGTTCTGCTCGGCGAGATGCAAATTCAGCATCCGACGGCCTCCATGATCGCCAGAGCTGCGAGTGCTCAGGAGGGGACCAAGCATAAAGCACAGCAAGATCTGCAATCTTCTGCACATTAGGTTAGTACTTGCGCCCCGGCAACTGTTGCCATTGTTGTTTCAGTCCGGCCAGGACGAGTTCACCGGTGACGGAACGACCTCTAGGTTCCTGGGCCTGGGATCATCTCACTTGAGATTGCCCTCGGTGCATCTAGGAGGGCTCTTTCAGACATCATGGGTCGTGAATAGGAAGCGCAGGCTGCTGGGACCACCTTGAACCACCAAGTTCCAATTGGACTCCCGAATCCTCACACTCGAAGCCCAGTGAAAACTTTATTGATGCTCCAAACCCCATACGACCCGTAATGCCACCTCCCCCCACAACAAAGCGCTGGCTGGCCCCAGTGTGATGTTCATCGGCGAGCTGATGAAACTGGCTGAACAGAGCCTGGCTGAAGGACTCCACCCGAGGCTCATCGCAGAGGCGCTTTCTTTTTTCTACTGCTTGGGGCGGCTGTAGGTTTCGGGGCTTAGGGTTGCTAAGTGGAGAGTGGTCTTCTTCCTCTCTCAAGACTTGCAGTGTCGCATGGTAGTCTGATTTGGGCATCCGCATCTCTGTATCGACATATATCTGTCTCACACTCTACATCTGCATGAGAAATCACGATCATCTTTAGGACAGCAAAGCACGCCAGCAGTGACCGTAGTGCTGATGGTGATAGGGGCAGGTACTGGGACAGCTAGTGTTTGCCATCTTGAGATTGATGGACGCCGCCGTCATCAAGATAGCAAGAAGACTGATCATACCGAAGAGGCAACAAGGTTCAACATCTTCACCGACAACGGCCACAAACGAGACCGGGACGGCAAACACCTAAGACAAGGAGAAGCATGACATTGCGTAGAAAGGCACAACACAAACTTTGTTAAACATAGGTGAAGAGGGTTCACCTTAAACCCTAAACCCTAAACCCTAAACCCTAAACCCTAAACCCCTAAACCCCAAAACCCTAAACCCTAAACCCGAAACCCTCAGCCTCTGAGGGTCCCATCCTTGAAGCCCTCAAGCCGTTGCAGCGCTCTCAGGGCTTCGAGCTGGCCCGTGAGGAGACAGTGAAGTTTCTGGACTCCTTCAAGGCGGGGCCCTAAATTTTTAGGGGGGCAGTCGCAGCTTCTGGTCTCTGGCAGGTTCAGGCTTCTGGATGAAGGGATGATGATGGCCGTGAGATGGTGTGCCAATGTCAGAGTTGCATTTGAAGCGGCAGTTCGGATAAGGCACTGTTCTCGGTTGTTATCCTTGCCAAATCTGCATCATGATCTGCATTGTTTCCCAGTGTCATTCCTTGGGATGTCAAGGTTGGTGCTGGTGGTATCGAAATCAGCATCAACATGTCCGTTGTCAGGTTTGCTTATGTGAACATCATTCGAACCACACCCCACACCAACATCGCTACGAGTATCCGTGTTCTGTGCATGTAGGTGCTGTGTCTTCGCTGCTGTACACCCATACGCATCAAATCGTTAACTTGACCTTGAAGTCACTGGCGGTAGCCAAGACTGATCATGAGCATGACATGGGTGACTCGAATGTTCATTTGAGGATGAAGATCACCATGCGTGTAAAGATGAAGCTGAGGCGATGATGCCGTTGACGATGACTACGACCATCACGGTGATGTTGCTGCTGAAGCAGACGATGGCGAGCATCATGATGATGATGCTGGTGATGATGCTGATGTTGATGATGCGTCATCCTTTGTCTGTTGTTGCCTTTGGGATAGGGTGATCCATTGTTGTCATCATCGGTATTCCTTTTTTGATCTCCGTTCCAGTTCTGATTGTTCTTGCAAACAGGAGTATACTGACGGAACTGAGCCGCAGGTCCACATGGATGAACCTCTCAGCGATCGGGAGAAGCTCGTCTGCGTAGCGAGAACCTCCCTGAGGCTGGTCTTCGAATGCATGCTGGTTGCTTCGCTTTTGCTCTTGCTGCCGCTGCTGCTACTACTACTACTACTACTACTACTACTGCTGCTCCTGCTGCTCCTGCTACTCCTGCTGCTGCTGCTGCTGCTGCTGCTGCTGCTGCTGCTGCTGCTGCTGCTATTACCGCTACTACTACCGCCTCAGCCTGCAGAAATGATGTTCTGGGCACTGAGCTTCTACGGATTTTCCCGAACAGCCTCTCCACCGACCTACGACAACACCCGCAGGGAAGCCAAGATCGCGGGAGCGAGTTCACTTACCAAAAACACAAACGCTCATGCCCAAAAGCTGTGCAGGACAAAGATCGTCCCGGCCCTCGCAGATCCCATGGCGGAGGTTGTGGTCGATTCTGTGCCGTGGCGGGAAGGTGGGAGTGGTGTGCCTAACTAGCAAGAAGGAGAAGTCTCGGCTATCATTATCATCACCTCTGTCACCACCCTTATCACCTTCCCCTGTGACCTCCATGACCTCCCTCATGACCGCAATCACCGCCGTCCTTGCCACCATGATCACCATGGCCATTCTTGGTTTGAAAATCATTCCCATCTGTCATATAATCATATACAAGAGCTTCAGAAGCTTTTTGCGCTACAAGCTTTTCTCAAACTTTTCTCTATGCTGGTCTGGCCTTCGCCTTGCCTCTTGGGATTTGAAGTTCTTGCCAAGAGTTGAGTTGCAGTTTTGCATCTGGCGGATCTAGCGCTCATGATGAGGAACTTGTTACTTTCTCCAAGTTTGCTGATCATAAGCTGAGTTTAGTCATGCTTATTTGTTGGGTGTTCCCCAATCAATACTGTCAGAACGCTCATAAAATGCCTTTTCGAGGGCTCGGCCTTCGGGTTTTCATGATTTTCAGAGCCTTTGGCTGTCTTCCGATCTTGTGGGGTCCCCGAGGTGCGCATGATCAAGAAGCAGGGATCCCCGCTGGATCTCAACATGGTGGAGATTCTTCACATGAAGTGCGCCCAAGCATCTGCATCACAGTGCTAAGCCCTTGCCTGCCGTGGGCGTCTCGCTTTCCGGCTCTATGGAGCATGAACAGTGTGGTACTTTGGTGACTTTCGTGTATTGACGATGTTTGCTGTCGCCGTTGTCAGCGCGACTGGCATTGCTGGTCTTGTCGAAGTTTTTCACGTCGTGTTGTCGTGGTCATGCTTCCTGTTCGTACTTGGTCTTGTGGCTACTTGTCTTGTCACGGGCAATCCCGCTCTTTCTTTCGTGCTGTCATTTGGTAGCTTCCCTTCTCCTGTCAGGAACAAGCTCATAACGGAGACCCGGCTCATCAAGGGCCTCGTTTTGGACCACGGCGCCCGACATCCGGTTGGGGTCCAAGTCTGTGTCTGGCGATCGCATGCACATGGCTGCCAATGATAAGGAAGAGTAGTAACAGTCATGAAGTTGGAGCAAACATGCTCATAAGCATAGCAACCACTGCTGCAACCAAGCACAGCAATGTGTAGAAAGATCACCAAAAAACGCCTTGAAGAACGAAAGCACCCGAAGTTGCCATAGAACCATCATTAGCACCAGTATCACGAGCATCGTCATCACATCTCCACGACGATGACGACGACGACGACTACTCCATCACAATCAGTGCTGCCACCACTGCTGGTTTTGTCCTGTATGATGACAGAGTGATAGTGTCGGCGGTAACTATATAGTTGTAAAACTGATGGTATCACGAGTAAAGATTGTCGCAGTGAAAGTGCAGATTGAAGCAGAGCCGAGGACATGCCAAAGAAGCTGGAGAACTGCCAGGTCCTCAAGTGCCAGATGCAAGAACCCAACTTTCTCAGTGTCGTGCCATCTGAATGCAAGCCCTAGGCCGCCAAGCGATACACCTTCAATCCTAGATCGGTGTTGATGGGGGTGGTGCCGTTGTTGAGAGTCTTGAGTTTTTGAGATGTGGGCTTTGTGAACTGTGATTGAGGGCGGCAGTAGTGTGCATCGTGATCATCCAGGCACCATGTTGACAGGTTTCGCAAACCGCTAGAGGCTGCTCTGAATCCTAAGCCGGAACTTCAGCTATGGAGCCGCAGCCGAGGTTACATTCTGACATGCAATGTTTCCCTGGAGTACGAGAAGAGCGAGGCGACAGCAGAAGATGCCCCCGGGGTTGAGGCTGTGCTTGGGTTCGCGCTCGAGTCGTGAAGGTGAACGCCGGCTTCTTCTACAGCAGCTCAGAGCAGCGTGAGAAGTTGGTCGAGCGACCCTGCCACGCTTTGGTTTCATGTGCACATTGCGCTGCTGCCTGTCGTTGGCGACTCTTGGCCCGTCTGTCACCGTCTCGGAGTTGTGCCTACGGGCCTGGAGCCACATGATCTTGCCAGTTCTGAGCGGAAGTTCACCGACGAGAAGGTGAAGAAAATCATCGTGGCTTGACTGCATGGTCTGTCAGGTCCTGTTTCTGCTTGATCAGTTGATAACTCACAAGTTATTCTTGAGCTGCGCAGCAGATGTCGGGCTGCTCTTTCGGAGTTCGTTCAGCTAGAAGAGTGCCCCCATACCGATGTTCTTGGGCTGCGGGATTCTGGAAACCTGCTTTGACATCACGATCTGCTGCACTGTCTGCTTCTTCAGGAGCTGAAGCGGAAAGTCTGCACCGAGGATGGCCCGCATGTCACCGGAAAGCTTGGCTTTCGGCTTCAGGATGCGCTTCTCAGTGTGCCAACTGGGCAGGAGAACGGCAGGACTTTCGTCGTCATCAACCAGAAGGGAATTGATCCGCCTTCCCTCGAGATGCTGGCTCGGGAGGCCACGGAATCTGCAGGGTCTCCAAAGCTCCTCAAGTGGCAGACGTGAGAGGCAGAGGGTAGGATACAGACTCCAATACCCTTTTTTTAAGGATTATACCTTAGATTATAGTAGGATCCCAATTATGATTTAAGATACATGGGTAGGCACCTCATGATTCGCAGCCATTTGGATCCCAGTGTCCCAGCCTCTTTTGGCCTCCTGTCCCTTCGGACTCCTGTCACGCGCTCTGATGCCCCCCCACGAGCTTTTCCTGAGCCCAGTTTTCGAGCTTCCGAGGCTCCAGCAATGACCCGCACCTCGCCCAAGCGATCCGTGGCCGCGCTGGCAATCCTGGTAGCCGGGCTTGCATTTTTGGGACTCTAGTACTGCACTCTGTTGGAGGGGATTGTGTTCGCACTTGGGAGTTGCTTCGATGCGAGGCGGCTGCCCTTTGGAGCCTTGCCCCTGGCCAGTCGTACACCGCGCCAGCAGGGGGCGGCCTCAACCGGAAGCAGATGCACGGCAACATTCGAAACAAGGACCTTATGTTGCCCAGGTACTCTCTACAGATTTATATCGTTTTCTGAGGTCTGCATCTGCTTGTAGCTTGAAGTGAGGACAAGTTGGGGGGCGTGGTCGAGATTCCCGTGGAGGAGGAGGAGGAAGAGGTTGAGGCGAAGCCAGAGATGCCCGAGAAGCGGGTGCCCTACTCCATGCACATCGTCACCCAGCTCCCGCAGCACAAGCACCTCCACGAGGAGAGCAATGCGAGGAAGTTCATCGAGGACAAGCTGGTGGGTGCCTTTGAGAACTTCGAGGACCTGATCCGGCACGTGGAGGCCGGCGTCGGGCTGCAGCCCAGGCATATAAGGATCTAGGAATCTCGGGAGCTTGGCGATGAGTCCGCGTGCGCTTTCTTAGTTGGTGTCCTTGCACGCAAGACTCGGCCTCCGATTTGAGCTGCTCTTCCGAGCCCTTGCGCAGGTGCATTTGCAGGTGTCCCCACACTTCCACCGCGAGAAGCGCCCGGACAAGGTGCCGAAGACCACGATGACGGTGGACGAGGAGGGCGATGAGGTTCCCATGGAGGTCCAGCAGGAAGCTGGGCACAAGATGCTGACCCCGTTCATCGTGAAGGCTACCCTGACCTTGGCCAACCACCACAAGGTGGCCTTGACGAACCCGGAGAAGCACGCTCAGCCGAGCCTGACCGAGGCAGTTGATCACATGACCGACGTCCTGCGACACTCCTTGAGGGAGGAGAAGAACCGGATGATTTCTTCCAAGAGGAAGGCCCAGGAGAATGCTTTGGCCGACGACATGGACGGCATGCTTGACGATGACTACAACTTGGCCATTGCCAACGACATGGCCGAAAGCAGCCCCGAGGAGAACGCTAGGATGGAGGCACTGCCCGGGCCCAAGCATGGGAGAGAGAGGGAGAGAGAGAGAGACGAGACGTAGGGGGGCAACCCCTTGCGTCACAGCCCTGGCGAAAGAAAGAGAGACGAGACGGAGAGAGCGTCGCGCCCCGGGCTTGGCAAACGTGGAGCACGATGGGAGCACTGCGAGATGCCAAACGCTCGCCGAGGTATGAGCGCATCGAGGCTGCGTCCTAGGCAATGCCAGCATCTTCAACTCTTTCTTAAGCTTTCAAGGCATCGGGGGGAGGGGGAGGTGAGCAGCGTTGTCATTTTGCAGAGGTTGAAGGTGCTTTCACTATCAGGTTGTCGCAGCTGTTTCGTGTTAATACCTCGACTTCTGATAGAATCGCCACTAGCACTATCGGTTGCTGGCGATGATAGTAGGGAGGGCTTTGTGGCCACCCCGAAACAGACTCTTGATTCCTCATTCTCCTTCTCACCTCTCACCACATTGACCTCGACTCAGCTGTGGTACGACCTCGGAAGCTAAGGAATTGTCGTGTTGGCTTAGACGCAGTCAATCTGCACAGTGTGACGAATGGTTTACGATGTTGCAATGCAGCACACACTGGCTATGGAAATACAGCCGGAGTGTGACAGACAGCACACTCAAACAGTACAGGAAAGCCGTAGATGCAGTCAGACCCAACAAGCAAAATGACATCGGACTCCATCGCTTCAGCAACCTAGTGAGCACCTGTCATGCTAATCTTCAGCCAGAGCTCTGGTATTGCTGGCAGTCAAATCGTGGGTCAATTGCGCCTGCTATTGCCCTACCTAGACGTTTTGAGGTTTTGTCCACCATTCAAACCCAACTTCCGTAAGCATCATCCAACAAGCCTAGCAATCCCTCAAACCAGCCATAATGCCCCAAACCGCAAGAGCTTTCCACGGTGTCTGGAGGCGGCGTTCCAGGTGTGATTGGACCAAGGCGGGAAGAGACTCGTGACAAAGGGCTGCGGCCGTCATAGATGTACAGACATTTTGGCTTCTGGTATAGACAAAGTCAACATAATAGTTTTATGCAGGGTCTCAATCGCCCATGAACGGAAGGGGCACGTAGGCCTTGGAGAGCGTGACACTTCAGTCGGAGGCTCCTAGAATAGCTTCCTGCCAGTCATAGGCCTTTAGACATCCCCAAGCGCCGAAAGTCATAACCGTGAAGCAAGCCTAATGGGTAATTCTGGCTTCTAGCGGAGGCATTCGCCAAGAGTCTCATGTCCATCAAGCCTCCTCGCATTTCGAAGTATCTTAGCTTCTGAGTTCGGGTGGAGGGTTTAGGGTTTAGCGCCGCAGCCCCAGCTTTTTGAAGCAACGATTGCCCTTTCCTTAAAAGGGAGAGGAAGGGGTCGATCCCTGACGTGGTTGCCTGGAGTTCCCTCAGGCTCTAAGTCAGCGCCTGAGGACTCCTCTGGGCTTCTGATGTTTAGAGAAGATCGAAGACTTATTAGGCGCACTCTCATAATGAAATTGTTTCCAGCCTTGAGCAACCACCCAGATCATTTGATCGATTTAGACCTCGAGCTGCAGGTTCCAAGTGGGAATCGGGAGGTTGTGTCTTGTTCTTCTTCTGTTGCGTTGCCTCTTGCGTGCAGCTCGACCGTACAATTCGGTAGCCGGACAAAAGTGGGCGTGCTGGTGCTGCAGGTATCACCGAGTTGCTCAGACCCTCTACCGTGTCTTCTCCATACGTACACGCATCTATGACTCGTCGGTGAACTGCACTGCGTGCACCAGCTAAGCTACACTACACCCGCGGAGCCCTTTTGTGAGAAAGGCTCAGAATTCTAAGACGCACCAGACAGGATGAGGCTTCGCCGCGTGAGGTGGCAACTTGCTCGAGATCCAGCTTGGGGAGGCCAAAGTCTGCACAACAGCTGCAGTATGTTCCAAAGAAGGAGCCACCGATGTTGGCGGCCAGATTGCCATGAACGCACTTCGACTCCGCTACATATACCGCGATCAGAAAAGACATGCATCGAACTTGCCATGTGTTCTGCTATATATTCAACCGAGAGCAGCAGCAGTAGCAGCAACAGCCACGAGTTGTACCAGTCGTGGTCGTCGGCGGCGGCGTCGTCGAAGTCGTCGCCTAGTTGTAGTAGTAGTAGTAGTAGTAGTAGTAGTAGTAGTAGTAGTAGTAGTAATAATGGTAGTAGTAGTAGTAGTAGTAGTAGTAGTAGTAGTTGCAGCGGTGGCAGCGGGGAGCAGTGGTAGCGGTAGCAGCAATGCCAGTGGCAGCAGTAGGAGTAGGAGGAGAAGGAGGCGTGGCATGCCACCCTCATCTCAAGGAGGCAGCTCTGTTGGCTTTCAGAACAAAGAGGACGTGATGCTGGTGATGATGCAGATGATCCTGACCATCCTGATGATGATGATGATGACGACGACGATGGCGATGTGTAATCTGCGAAGAACCGTGAGGCTATGTCTGGGCTGTGTTGCTTTGAGGCCTAAGCGATCTCTCTTTCCCGCACGTAGTGTTTGGGCCTTGCCAGGGCATCATTGCTCTCCGCCGCGCAAAGCGCCGAAACATGGAGCCGGGGACTCGTATTCATGTCGGTGGCTCACTCCTCACCAAGCAAAAGTACGTGCACGGCGATATCTTGATCTGGATCCTCGACTCCTAAATCTAAAGCCCCTCAGTTATGTTTAGTGAGCTGGATGGAGGTGCCGCAAAGAGTCTGATTGTTAAATCTCCAGTACAGCAAGAGCAGATCACACTACAATAGCTGCAAACATCTTTCGTCATATCTAATTCCGTTGTCGAATTTCTTGTCATCATTGTCGCCCTTGTTGTTATTTATCATCATCTTGACCATCTTTCTGATCACACACACGACGCTCTTCTTCTTCATCGTCGGGGTCATGATGGCTAAGCATCACCACGAGGAAAATCATTACTATTGCCATCCTCCTCCTCCTCTTCATGCTCCTCATCTCATATCCTTGAAGTCGTGACCGTCACAGTATGTATAAGCCAGCCTCTGCATAACCATTAAAAAGCATCACCATCATCATCATCATCTTCTTCCCACGCGGCAGAGGAGAACGGTCTCTGTCCTGCGAGCGCCTGGTACAGCCTCTTTTCGAGGTCGGCCATTCAGTGATGGCAGGCACTAGTGCCGCTTTCGGCATCAGCTAAGTAACAAGTGCGCCGAGGCGCCGTATTAAAAAGTTATCAGCCATGAGTGCAATTCCGACGTGGTTGCACTACTTGACATCCTAGTCATCCATGGTCTCAAGCGCAATCATGAGCTGCTTGTTCCTCCACTTGGGCGGGCATTTGTTGCTGCTGTCCCGATTGGGCTGGTACACTTGCAGCTCGAGACGTCGTAGTCGTGAGTCCAGACGGTTGAGGGTCTTCTGTAGGGCTTCCATGCCCTCGGCCAAGCCCTGTATTTGCATCTGGAGCAGTGTGACGCGGCTGCTGAACCAGTTGATGTCCTCTTCCCTCAAGGTTCGGGGTTGGGGACTCGGGTCCATGCTGACACCTATTGTCATGTCTGATGGCCTGCGCAGTGCGGACAGCTGGAGCCATGTTGCATTGATCAGCCCGGGCGAGCACAAGTATGTACATGTTGGTGCTAACATGTTCAAGCTGTCGTTGATCAAGCTGCACGGGCTCTTTTTCATCATCCAGGAGCCAATGGTGCTCCGAATGTTGCAGCACTGTGGTGTAGTGGCCGGATGTCGGCTCCTCACCATGGTGTTGGATGTATGCTACAACTGCATATGCAATCCAGTCCACGTTGAGAGCATGGGGATTATTGAAGACAGGCATGCTTAGGGTTTGGGGGAGGATGTAAGCGTGCCTGAGCTTCTTGGCCCGGCCATGCGCTTGATAATGAAACCTGGGAAGCTGCAGGAAGAGCCATCTCGAAGGTGTGGTGAGTCCGTAAAGTTGCTGTTGTTGATGCCACAGCTCTATGGATGTTTGCAAGTCGGGAGAGGGCTTACTGGGATCCAAGGGGAGGCGGATACACTTATGCAGAGGTGCCTGTGTCTGCCTTTCCAGACCGTCTGCAGATAGGCCTCTGGATTCACAGTGACCTGGGAGGTGGCGACCAACAAGGCGCTGTTGCACGAAGTCTATGAATTCTGCTACGTCATGCTGGCTTTGGGGTGCGGACCATCCCAGAAGTTTAAACCCAATCAGACGACTTGCCTTGCGCGGAGTCTCTGAAGAGTGCCCAAAAACCTGACGGATCAGATCATTCATGCTGCAGTGGCGCAATGCTGCAAGCAGGCCGTACATAAAGGAATTAAGGTAGCAGCTGTTGTCGCCACCTTGCATCCGTATATGTGGAAGCATGCTATGGCTAGCTCCATCGGCGCCGCTTGGACTAGTGCCTGCCGGGTCTGCAGGTTCAGATCGGATGAGGTTGGGCAGCATGGCAGTGTCTTTAGGGGTCTTAGGGCATGGAGGGGTTATGTGTGCCTCGTCGGTGGGCCCTGGCGCCGGTCAACCATATCTCCGAGCTTCTTCGCCAGTGGTGTGCAGGGGAGGGTGTCCTTCTTCATAGAAACCCCTATTAGGTTCATCAGAGTGCACCCTGTGAGCTTCTCCAACGTCTCGTAGAGCTCCTGGGCCGTCTGGCCCCGTAGGGAGACTTCCAACTGGAAAGTCGCGAACTGAGCCCCCTGCTGCTCCAGGATGCTGAGCTGCTTCGTTGCAGCGAAGCGTTGGATTGCTTCTCCCTTGAGGTTTTTGAGTAGGAAGGTCAGCAGCCGTATGGCCTCGTCGTGCTGGAGGGCCGTGCGGTTGGGATCCACTTTGAGCGCTTTCGCTCCATGGTCCCAAATGCGATAGTTCCAGGCTCCCGCTTGGGTCATCCACTCGGTCTGGATGTATTTGGACTTTGCCTCCTCCGTAGCCACGGCCTGCTGGGCCAAGTTCATCACCTCGCGTAGCATGCAGGCGAACAAGACCGTTCTGAGGGGGGACCGGAGCTGGTCCTCGTCGAGGGCCTTTTTGTTCTTCCAGTCCTTGGAGATTCTCATGAGTGTCCCCAAGGTCCCGTTGGCCTCGTTGCGCATGAACAGCATGAAGATCTTGTCGTGGCGAAGACGGCTGATGATCTCCTCCTGTTTCAACACTACGCGGCTGAGAAGACTGAGTTGATCCTGTGGGCCATGGTGTGTCGGGGGACGGTGACCTGGAAATGGAGGTTGCATCGGGTAGACTCGGTAGCCCTGCATTCGTCGAGGGGGAAGGTTCCACCTGTCCGGTTGCTCCGGGCGGTGGCGCTTCTGGGACCTGTTGTGGTCCGTTTCGGACAGGTAGAACTCCTCTGGGTTGTCCCAGTAGCCTGCGAAGATCTCCGCCTCGTCGTTCAGCACTGGATCCGTCCGAGCCGCAAACATCCTGGCAATAGAGTTGGGCGAGGATGAGTTGTATCAATGGCGTGCACTGTTGTGTGTGCCTGTGGGGGGCTCCGACTTTGTGGCCGCACCAAATGCAAGCACTGTTCCTACGGAGGTGGGACTTAAAGGAACCACAAAGCTTGAGGGCTTTGGGGAGCAGGTCCGGGTGAGCTGCAGCATGTGTGCGGTTGTAATGCTGCTTCACGTGTCTGAATGATGCAATCCACATGTGGCAAAGAGCGCAGTGGCTTGAGAGTTCCTGTCGGACCGCCGGTATTGCAAGCCATTTCTCTGTGTTGTGACATTGTGCAATGAAAGCTGGTCGCTGCACAAGCGGAGTATGCTGGCTGTTTTCTCCCTCAAAAATTGGGAGCTTAGCAGTCGGCGGCGTCAGAATCTTCGCCGGTAGTGCATCTGGCACAGGTGAACGAATATGACTTGCACCCCCTAGAGCTGGGCACGCACTGCTTTCTATGTGTTGTCTCAAGTGGGTCCACCTGAAGAATTGTCGCTCGCAGAGGCGGCAGGCCGGCATCCCCGCCTGGGAGTGCACAGCAGGGTCAAAGGTGGTGGGGATTTTTGTTAGTATCTCAGGAAGGTGCTTATGTTGCAGACTGCAGTGGATGCGCATGGCATTCTCTGTGGTGAAGGCCTTATCGCATTGTGGGCAGTTCACTAGTGGCTGCGTTGGGGGCTCAGTGGCTAAGGTCTTGGCCGCATTCATGAGGACTGCCTCCAGCCGGGTAGCCTGTTGTGCAACAAACTCTAGCGCCTGCGTTGTGGTGGTAATGTCAGGATCGGAGTCATACTTGGCTTGGAGCCTTTGCTGATGCACTAGCAGAGAGTGCTGCAGCTGCCAGCCGGGCATGGGAAGGCCAGCCTGAGACCATACTGCACCATTGGTGATGTGTGTAAGATGCGCTGGGACCCGGAGAATGGCCCTGAGGTGTCTGGTCAGCAGCGTGGTAAGTCTATGCAAGGAGCTTGTTGTCACGCCCACAATGTGTTGGGAGTATAGTACACTCGTGCACACACAGGCTCGCCAAAGCCTAATCCGGTGCTTTGTGCTGAGATGATGGGATCCATTCAGCAGCTTGCGTAGTCCCTGATATCGCTGTTGACAGGCTTGAATTCTATGAGTCATATTGCGGTCAAGGCGGTTGGTATAGGTGACGACCGTTCCAAGGTACTCATGCTGATCTTTAATGGGTATAGTGCATTCGCGGCCGTTGATGGTCAGCTTTAAGTGGAGCTGGCCTGCTTTCATGATGGTGTGGTCGCGCCTGAGCTGCCTAGCCTCCTTCCCTGTGAGCTTGAGTAGGATGGCTGTTTTGCTATAGTTGATCGTCATGCACAAGTTCTCAAGAGTGGCTAAGATCAAGCTCACATCATCGAGTGCAGCCTCAAAGTCTCTTGTCGATGTTATGAGCCATGCGCCCCAAACATCATCGGCGAAAAGGGATAGCACTCTTCGAATCCATTCAAGGTCACGTTGGTTACGAAGGAGGGTGAGGAAGGCGATTGTGAAAAAGTTCCATAGATATGGAGCAATGACACAGCCCTGTTTGATTCCATTCGTAGTAGTAGTGGATCCATTAAGGTCGCCTACTTGGAATTTGTACTGGGCTGCCTTGTGAAGCTGCTGCACTATTGTGACGACATCTGGTGGGACTTGCTGAGCATGCATTTCCCTGTATATGTGGGAACGGGTGACTCCATCGAAGGCTTTCGATAAATCAAGAGAAATGCATAAGCCCCCCGCACATCGTCTGTGGCGGTGGCCCGCTTGCTGTTGGAAGCGGTCTGCCTTCGTTTGCTGAAGCAGCTCATCTACACTGTGGAAGTGGCTGTGTGCCTTGGCAATGGCATCCGCAGTGCCCCGTTGCTGGGCGTAGGCAAACTGTGGCAGCACCTTCAGCATTGGTTGGAGGTGGCTGAGGAGTTGGGTCCTAAGGCTTCCCGCCAAGGCTTTACTGGCCGGACTGGTCAGTCCGATTGGCCGTAAGGATGCTACGTTTACTGGCGGTTTCCCGGGCTTCGGGATCCACACGACATAGCAGTTCTTCCAGTCATCATCAAGATTGGCCGGCGTGCCCCTGCGGAGGTGGCCTCGTAGAACGAGGCCAAGGGTGTTTCCCAGGGCTTCGGCGCACAGCTTCCAGGTGGCCGACGGCGCCACATGTTTGGGCACAGCTTTGGCGATACCTAATTTCTGCAGTTCACTCGTGAGGGCTGCATCGGTAATGTGAAAGTCGGCTTCAAGGACTGACATCGGCATATCATCCGAGTGCACTGCAAAGGTCTGGTTGCTGTGCTGCACGATGGATTGCAGCTCGGCTTCTTTGGAGAGCAAGGCACCTTCGGTGCTCCGAAGTCTGCTGGCAATGTGCCTATCCTTGGGGGATAACCTGCGGACAATGAGATGCAGGCCACGTTGATCGCCCTTGGAGGCTGCTGTCTCTGCCACTTCAACCTGGGCTTCATAGAATTGTTTTTTGTAGGCTTGGCTTTGCTTCCGCAGCAGGCGAGAGGCCTTGGCAAAGTCTGCGGCCAGGCGCCACTTCATGAAGATGTTGCGGAATGTACAGACACCTGGGTGCCTGGGTGCTTGAGGCGATGGTAGTGCTGCCAGACGTGTTTTGCAAGTATGCGATAGCCTGGCTGGGCGCTGACACGCTGATCAGGGCTTTGTGCTGGTGGGAAGAGACGTCGCGCCTCCTCCAGCAGTATGCGGTTGACATGGTGGTGAGCACTTTGCAGATTGCTAGTGTCCACCTCGGCGAGGCGGGTCGTGACGCTATGCTGCAGCTCTTGAGCAGCTGGGCTGTTGTCCCGCACAGCCTGTTGCAGAGCGGTGGAGTTATGGGCAGTGGAGGAGGTGATCTGATGGGATTGTGGGAAGAAGGGTCTTATTGGTAGCTGAGCGTGTAAGGGGTAGTGCCCCGTAAGGCGAGAGGCTCCTACCGGAAAGGAGGTGATGGGCCTTGTACGCTTGGCCAGCTGGCGCGCTGCCTGCTGCCGCATCAGTACAAAATCAATCTGTGAGGTACCATTTGGTGCATAGTAGGTGGCCTTGTCTGCACAGTGCCACGTGTTTGTGGCCGTGAGGGCTTGCCTTTGCATGAGAGCTGCGAGCTCTAAGTCATGATTGTCAGTGCACCTAGTTGAGGCGGGGCCAACTATGGGATACTCCGGGCCAAGGGTGGAGTTAAAGTCCCCACATACAATCAGACTGTGACGAGCAGGCACTCTTTGGATGACGGTCTCGAGGTTGTTCCAAACGGTACCGCGGAGCTCCTTGTTCTGGGCTGTGGTGAGCTGGGTTCTCCACACATGTTGGTACACTCCTACTATCGTTATGGGAAGGCCCGTGCTGCGGATAGTAGCTTGGATAAGTGCAAGTCGACCTGGGCAGACTTCCTGAACCCTCACGTCCTGGAAGGTGTGGCGGTTGAGGAGAAACAGCAGTCCGGCAGATTTGCCGTGGCCGTCGGGCGAGTTCCTGCCAGAAGAGTGGACCGCAATCCACCGTCCTGAAGTAAAGTCGCCGGCCCAGTGTGATTCTTGCAATATGAGTGCATCATATCTGGAATTCAGCTCGCACCACGTGATTAGCTCCTGAAATAGGGGTCCGCTAAGTCCGCTTGTGTTCCATGACATGATGCTCAGGTGTCTGTCTGATGCGTGCCTCGTGGAGGTAGTAGGGCGTCCGTTCTTGGCTCGCTGGCGCCTTGGTGCAGTCGGGGCAGCGGGTGGAGGAAGTCGGCCTAAGGTTGCTACCGTATGCCATCTATTCTTGTACCACGTACCCTGTTCGGCTGAAGCATGAGCGCGGTTGCGAGCTCGGCGGTAGGCCCGTTTGGCTGTCTTAAGGATGTTACACATTGGTGCTGGCATTGCTTGGGGTGCTGACGACGTGGGACGCGCTGTTCCACGTCGCTTCCCCGCCGTCGTCGGTACGACGACGAGTTCACCTCCCGTCGTGGCAGTGGGAGGAACCCTCACCCCTCCAGTCTCTATGCACATAGTGATCACAAGGAGCTTGCAGAGACTGGTCCCGGACTTGGGACCGGGAGAGCCAACGCTGTGAGGCTTCTGAACTTCTGTTGTTGTTTGTGCATTCAGGGATCTTAAGGGAGTCTTATGCATTCGGGGGGTCTTACTGAGGCTTAATGTCTCGCAGGTGGCACGTCTTGGTGAGATGCGGCCTGCTTCAGCAATCTGCCCGGCAGCAGTGGAACTCAAGGATCGCCTGTGGTTGGGTTTGCTTTGGTTTAGGGGTCTATGCTGGGGACTACGATCACCCTTAGGGTCACCCTTAGGGTGGGGAGAAGGATTGGCTGCTGGCCTCTGAGGGAGGTCAGCGCTGCAGCTGCATGGCTGGCGCATGGCTCGGAGCTTAGTCGTCTCGTCGTGGGGTGCGGGAGCGTCGTCGTGCCGGCCTTGATGGTGCTGGGTTCCGCCTTCGGGGTCGTCGTTCGTGTGTGGCCTCGAACTCGTAGGTCTGCCACTCGCGAAGTCGTTCTCCGGTGAGGCGTTGTCGGGCTTCTTCTTGGAGATTTTGCCAGTTACCTGCATTTGTTCGTCGGCGAAGTCCTGCCAAGCAGCCAGCTTGGCTCCTTGAAGGGACCTTTCTGGTTTGCAGCTCCTGCCTGTATAGCGTGTGGAGCCTTTCCACAGCGGACACCAGTGTGTCGCCTTCGAGAATGAGACTGGTCTCACTCCAAGAGTGGGAGGCTTCAGCATCCGATCGTCCTTCTGCATCTTCTGTGTCTCTCTCTTGGCTGTCGGTGCTTCCAGATGTGCTGGATGTGGCTGTGTTGTCGGCCGGGACAGAGGGCAGCGTCGGTCCGGCAGCAGATGGTTTTGCTGCGGGTTCTCCAGGCACCACCGGGTCCTCAGACACGCGTGGTGTGTCGCGGTCGATCTTGTAGTAGCTTGCACCTGGGGGCGGAGGAGGTCCAGCTCGTCGCTCTGCTTCGGCTTTGGTGGGTGGACCCTCCGATATATGGTCCCGAGGAGTACGCTCCACATCAGAGCCACTGTCAAGCGCATCGGCAAGTTCCGAGGAGCCATCTGACATATGATTTCGCCGAAGAAACCCCAGCCCCAAAAGAAGAAAACACACACGGCAGCCCAACCAAAAGAAGTTCGCGGGCACTCAGCTTGGGCCCAGGGGCTTCATCATCATCATCATCCTCATCTTCACCATCGCCATCATCATCATCATCATCATCATCTTCATCATCAGCATCATCATCATCATCATCACCAGCACCATCATCGTCATCATCATCATCATCATCACCATCATCATCATGATGTTTCAGGAACAGCATGGAGACAAGACTCAGTAGAATGTAGTAGCGGCGAAAGCGAATAACAGCGGATCTATATTTTGCTAGCCGAAGTCACAGGGAGGAGGAACTTAGAGACATTGGGCCATAATGCAAAACCGCATAAGAGCTGAAGCAGGGTTCAAATGTCAGTAGCATTACAAACTCTAGATTTGTTTGGCTTGACATGCTAGCAATGCCCTTCGCCTTCCCATCATCTACAATATTGATGCATCCCTGGGCTTTAAGCCTGTGGCTTCAAGCACAAGAGCTCGGACGACCGTGCACGGGACTGTACTCATTAGTTAAGGTTTAAAGCACAAGAGTATGTACGTACAAACGAAAATGTGTATATTTAGATACACATGTCTCTATGTCTATGTCTATGTAAATGCACATGCAAGCTTCTGCCTCTGAGGCGCCTCCCGCTGGCCTGCGGCGGCCAGGCCGTGAACTCTGTAGATGACCTGGATCTCGATGATCTCGGCCTGGGACTTGGTATTTGGTTCGCCAATCGCTTGAAAGGCTTCAAACTCGGTTTGGACTACCCTTTGCCGTTTCGTTTCAGAAGGTGGTGTTGGCGCTGGGATCGACAATTATCATTTGCCTTTCTTTCTCACTGGATGCTCGCTCCGCCCACGGGCTCGGCAAGACTCTTGGGTCGTTCTTCGTTCCGGCATACTCTCACCGATGATCAACAGGCATGTGGCATCACTATGATATATTGCGACTGGTCATGCTGCAATTCCACAGGAACCCATATGATATGGGGGTTTCCGAAAATAGGGGACCCTAATATAGTACCCTAAATAGTAGGATCCTTATAATAAGGACCCCAAATAAGGTACCCCTACTTTTCGGAAGCTCCCATATGGCTGATAGCATGAACCTTGCTTTGATACAACGCCACTGGATCAGTTCGATATCGGCCGCTTGAGGCTACGCGGACCTCGTCTACGAGCAGTCGCTGGAGGTTGGCCTGGGTCCGGGCTCAGTGCAGCTTGGGCTTCTTGGGGCTTGGCTTTTCGGGATGTGGAGGAGTTGGAGCAAAGCCGGGCAGTTATGCCCAAATCTTGAAACCCTTGCCTCCCAACTCCTAGAAACCCCCTGGCCGCTGGCCCCGATGCTGAGCCCTGATTTGTCCATCGGGTTTCAAGGATTGGGCTTCTTGATCATGCCCACTCTAGGCTCTATCCGGATCCTTCGCCGACCCTCGGTGAAACCCACCCTCACAATTCAGGAAGGGTGACTTTCTAGCGGCAGGGGGCTTAACGACTGGTTCCTTTGATTCCATGAAGCAAAGCCAGCAACCCCAATCCGAAGGATGACAAGTTCACCTTCATCGAGGGCGTCCAGCGCTCGAAGATTGAGAGCTTCAGGATCGGTTTTTCTCTTTGATTTGCATGTTGGCCAGCCAGGAAGTTGGATCGGGAGTATATTCCTATTTACCGGCCGTAACGGGAGCCCGTAGCAGGAGCGAAGCCCAACACCGTAGCACCAACCGGCCGGTTCCCGTAACAGCCCGCAGGCAGGCCCTCGTAGCAGGAACTGGGGGGAGGGCTCCAAGACTTACCCATAGGCCCTAAAGTAGTTCCTTTTTGGGGTTCATATATAGAACCAATAAGGTAACCCCAAAAAGGAACTACTATGGGGGGCCTATGGGTAATTTCACATCCAGCATCTCTGCTGGGCTCTCCAACTCAGGGACCGCTTTCCGGTCTCCCACTCACAGGGAGTCAGACCTGCATCTTATTGAACCCGAAACTCTATGTGCCCCGAGCAAAGAAATACAGGCGTGAGCATGAGGCTTTAATGGTCGCAAAGTAGGGGACCGAAAACTGGTCCCCCACGGAAGAGTTGCAACGTAGTTTATGCGGCTTTCCAGGGATAGTTTCTGTGACGCTAGGGGTGCAGTTCAGGTTTCTACTGCGCCTGTTTCGGTTACGGTGTGCGGAGCTGGTTTCCGTTAATCCCCAAAGCATTTCCCGTTGCTCCACGCGCCCGTTGGATCAGCGTGGCTTCGCTGATGCAGAGATGGTGCACTCGATGTTTTCGGCTGAGGTGAAGAATCCGCACAGCTGCACGGTCTTGATCCAGGGCTCCACGGATCATGCGATCGCGCAGATGAAGGCCTTGTCTAAGAAAGTCAGCCTACCGCAACGGTTTTGTTGTACGACGCTGAAATCCGATCTGACGCCTGAGCAGAGGTCTTTACGGAACCGACGCACCCCAACTCTGAAGGGGTCGAAGCCTGCAAAGCCTTCTGTGCTGCATGCAGGATGCCATCAAAGACGGGCTGCGCGCCACACAAAACTGCGTCGAGGACGAGGCCACGTCCTTCAAGCTGACTCTTATGTGGACACGATAGCAGTCGTCAACAGCCTGAGCAGCAGCAAACGATGACCATCACGACCAGCACGACCAAACCCCCACCGCCACCACCACCACCACCATCATCATCATCATCATCATCATCATCATCACCATCATCATCACCCTCATCATCATCATCACCATCACCATTACCATCATCATTACCATTATCCTCATCATTATCACCATCATCATCACCATCATCATCATCACCATCATCATCACCATTATCATCATCATCACCATCACAATCATCATTGTCATTATCATCATCATCGTCATTATCGTCATCATCATCTCCACCACTATCACCATCACCATCACCATCAGCATCATCTTCATCATCATCATCGTCGCCTTGTCATCGTCATCTTTATGCAAAGCAGCAGCAGCAGCAGCAGCGGCAGCAGCAGCGGCAGCAGCAGCAGCAGCAGCAGCAGCAGCAGCAGCAGCAGCAGCAGCAGCACAAGCAGCACACCGACCGCAGTAACAGCAAAAGCAACACACACACACACACACAACGACGGCAGCAGCTTTGACGTGAAGGTGTCCCTAAGCCCTTCCGCTCTAGAGGCCATCGTGCCCGGCGCGGGAGCTTTTGAGGCACGGAATGCGGTGTGGGACTTTGTGTTAAAGTAGGAGGGGCATGGCCAGGTGTGGAGTGCCACTTGAAGGGTGTATGAGTGAGCATTCAGACAGAACTTGAAGGGGAATGTGTGCCGGGTGCTCGGATGCAGAACTGCCCGAAGTTGCAAAGCTGGCTGCCTCATTCTGCCTCATTCCCCACGTCTCCACCCTTTCTGGAGCAAGTTGCGCCCCAGATCGCCGCACATGTGCACCTGGAGCAGTTCAAGCGAACTGTGGAGGGCAAGCCACGTTTAGGAGTCGGTGGCCTAGCTCCGTGAGAATGCCTTCGGCTCCTCAAGGAGGCTGCGTCAGTTGTGATCCCTAGATTTCGACAGACTTTTCCATAGAAGAGATGCTGCTGGACTGGTGCAATGAGTAACGAGCCGCAACAGCTCCAAGGTGGAAATTTTTGCGAAGGCGCTGCTAGTGGTGCCGAAGACACTCCTGGAAAACTCCGGCTTGGATGTCCAGGCTGCGGTCTAAATTATCTGCGGTGTGGGGGTCCCGGGTTCGTTCAGAACTCGTTGGGGTGGAAGTCGCTGCGACTTCATCTTGCGCTCGGGTCTACTGCACAGAAGGTAAGGAGACTCGTCGCAATCTCTCTTCACAGACGAAGGACCCACTCAAGGAATCCCCGAGGAACTCAACAGCACTTCCACTCCGAAAGCGCTGGACGCTTGCCTCTCTTAGGGGTCAAGTTGGCTTTCCGAAGCCTCCATCCTTCGAGGTCTGCACGACTCGAGTCTATTACTATTCGTGCTTGTCTTCGTCCCCACTGCTACCGTCGTTGTTACTGCTGCGCTGTAGGGCCAGACGTTAGCCGCGCCCCGAAAGCTTCAAAGGTAAGACCTATCCTCTGCGGCCAGGACAAACTGCTTAGAGTGCTGGCAGACCGTGAGAACAAACACAGGGTAGCGGTGGCCTTAGAAGGGTTCGGTTCGAAGTTCCCGGTGCATGCTTTTAGGTGGATTTTATTGGGCATCGGTGCTGTGACTATCGAATTCAGCTTCAAGTTTCTGGCCTTGTTCCTGAGTTCCCGGGTCACCGGAACTCGATCAACGAATTCAGTCTGCTGCGATCCTTCTGTTGTTCTAACTTTTTGCGGGTCCTCACCGTGGTCTGAATGCTTGCGTTATTTGGCGACGAGGTTGGCGTCAGTGTGGCCAGTGGCGACCCCATCGATCCAGCCATCGAGGGTCGGGGGCCTCAGCCGATGGCAATGGGTCTATCAGAAGGATAGCCCGGATAGTGCGGGTCATGTGCACTCCGGCAATTGCAAGAGGGTTACACGACAGTCACGGGACCGACATTGCTTCTGAGGTATCTACGACAACTTCCTGGTGAAAAAACAGATGCTTGGTCTGGTCCGGGTCTGAAATGTGGTGCTGTGCCAGATGCACCGTCCCAGGGCAATTGCTGCACTGACCACCACCACCACCACCGCCGCCCCCACCGCCACCGCCACCACCACCGCCGCCGCCACCGCCACCGCCGCCGCCACCGCCACCGCCACCACCGCCACCGCCACCACCACCACCACCACCACCACCACCAAGAGCACTAACGCGAAGCTGTTCCAACTCTTCGACGTCCTTTCTTTCGGGCTCCAATTCGCAGAGCCGTGCCCCGAGGCGCCAGTGCTGGCTGAACAGTTGCTGCTCGTGGACGAGGCCAGGCGGCTTCAGCCTGCGCAGCTTCGAGATGAGGGCTGGCTGGATTTCAGGGCAAAATGTTGGAGCAGTTCTCATGAAATTGGCATGAGACGTCTCTCTCGGGGTTCTGGCCTGGCTGCCGCGCAAGCCTTTCGCCCGAGATTTCCGCCAAAGGTCATCCGAGCCGGCAAGTCCATGAAGAGCGATGGCGGCATGCAGGGATAGGGCTCAAATTCGGCCCTGACCATCGCCTCAAGCGCGGCAAGGAAGAGGTTGTCATGGCTTTCCGAAGTTCTACATAGTTCTACTATGAATGCAAAGATGCGGTGAATGACGACCTTTTCCGGCTCTCGTGCCAGATGCTTGTGTAGGGAACAGCTTCGGCCAGTGTCACCGGATGCAATCCGCATCCACCAGGATGAACCTGCAGTTGTGCACAGTAGCTCGGATAAGCATTTTGTTTCTGGTGCAGGTTCGCTCCGTAACCCGACCAGTGCGGCAGGATGCGATGGGGTGCACGACAGAGAAACGGCCCTTGGTTGCTTGAGCTCAGCCGTTGAGACACTTGATAGCCTTTCCCTCGACAGGTCCCAAGCAGAGCTTCCCTCGGATCTTCTAAGCCGCTTGAGCTGCTCTGCCGTTTTTGGCATTTTCTTCTCACGTGACTGCTTTGTTTGTGCAATACTACATGATTCTACAGATGGCGCGCAGGTGCGATCGGAACCCGCTAGGACCGCGCCGCACATACAAGTGCGTCGCTTTTCCCAATGTTTGCGCTTTTGTACAGTGCCAAGTCGTCTGGACAGAATGCGGGTTCCAGCTGCTTGTATCAACTGAGATCACATGCATCGTATATATTTATGATTTATGTCAGTATGTACGCACGTACGTCGGCAGATGGGTACAGGGAGGCATGTAAGTAGGTAGGTGAGGCAGCCAGTTAGGTAGGTAGGCAGGTAGGTGGCGCCATGGCTTGCCACGGGTATGGCCTGGCCATGGTTTTGGCCCAGGAGGCGCAAGTTTGAAACCTTTTCGGATGCTTTGTCAGTTCTGTTCTACCACCTCCCTCAAACCGCGTGGCTTCGCACCGAGCATAAGTTTTCTGAGTAGTACCCCGGCATTCGACGGGTCCCAAGCGAAGAGAAGCAAGTGGAGATAAGCATCGAACGCCCCCGACATTGGCAACCCAGCCGCAGTGCTGAATGTCGGCATTCTTTCTAATTAATATTGACGCAGCCGTTGCAGTAAGCCTTGTGAGAAGTAGCCAGAATCCCCACGTGTGGTTCTTGACATGTGGCGCTGCTCGAGATGCCAATCCCGACATTCCAGCCGAAATCTCTACGCCCCGAACCCCCTCAAGTCTGAAGTCGATGCGTCGGAAGGTTACCTTGAGATTGAAAACCCGGGTTTGGGATTTAGGGGATGAGGCTCACGGTCCAGCCTGGTGTTCATGGCAGGCTTGACCATACGGCCCCAGAGCGTGCCATTTCTGGGAGTGCATGTGGGAGTCTAGATTCTAGAGCAGCAGCTGTTGTGCTGTTTGTTTTATCTGCGAAAGAGCCCACTTAGCTTCCATAGCCTGGGTTTGCCAGGTTGCCGAGTCAGTATGCGCGGTGAAAGAGTTTTAAGATGTCTTCAGCGTCTTTCGTGTCTTTCGACTCTCCGACCTGTTCTGCCTCGACAGGGGTGCTTGGTAGGGTCATCTCGGCAATATTTGATCTGCTTTGATCAGCATATACATGTTTTCATACTCCTGCGCCACAAGAAGCACCGCAAGACAGACAGCATACTTTCGCGCCAGCACACGCGCGGCTACATGCACGTTTTGGACAGAGCGACGCGGATTCGAATGATCCCCGTAACTACTGCTGCCGCATCCGTCCAAGCGCATGGGCATCCCCAAGTACCACAAGTGGCTCACGCAGCGGTACCCCGATGCATTTGCAGAGGCTAGCGAAGAGAGTGCCGATCACGTGTACGTGGACATCAACACGTTGCTCCACGATTGCATGCGCCATGCTTCAAGCGAGGAGGGCTTCTATCAGCACCTTTTTCACAAGCTCGATGCCCTTTTCCGGATTGTAGTGCCGTGGAAGAGTGTCTTCCTGGCAGTAGACGGACCCGCATCCTGTGCGAAGTGCTTGACCCAGCGTCAACGCCGCAGGGCTCATGCTCAGAAGGATGCCAGGAGCTCGAAAGGGACAGGCAGAGGTAAAGGTGGCAGAGGAAAGCGAGGAAAATGGGATTACGGTGGTGGCATGTCATCCGAGCAGCTGTCGAACAACATGCTAACACCAGGTGTGCCATTCATGACGAAATTGACCAGCGCCCTTGAGTATTATGCAGCGAGCCGGATGGCCAGTAATGGGTGCTTTGCCAGCTGTGAGGCGGTCACTGTGAGTGGAGCGCAAGCTATCGGCGAGGGTGAGCACAAGATTGTTTCCCAGATGTTGCGCAACGCAAGCACTGCTGCCGGGGAGTCTCACGTCATCTCCAGTGGTGACGCGGACATCTTCTTGCTCTCGCTGGTGCAAAGCGCGTGCCGACAAGTGCGGGTTGTCGGTCCGAACGCGAATGCGCAAGACCAGCAAGGCAAGGGCGGCAAGAGGCGAAGGGGCACGCTGCAGATCTGGAATGCAGAGGTGCTTGCTAGGTACATACAGGCAGAGCTGTCGCGACCAGGCGCGCCTCGCGCTTCACCAGAGGAAGCAACTTT